AAAAGAAAGTTTAAAGACTAAAGTAGAAAGAAGACTCAGAGATATAAAATGAAATTGAAAGAGGAAAGATACTACTAATAAAAATAATAAGGTAGGAAATTTTATGATAAGACAAAGAAATATCTAAAGATGAAATGGCAGGTAAGAGAGAATTAGAAAAAAAGAATGAAAAGAAGAGAATAAAGGACTAATACAGCCTTTTCTATTTCGATGTCTATCTTCTGCCCTGTCTCAGCTCTAAATCTTTTCCCTGGGCCCTCTATTTTCCAGTGTTTTTTTGGGAAAAGATTTATTTATTTATGCATACAAGAAGTGGGGTACAAGTCAGAGGTGCAGGGCAGGGGCAGTGAGAGGATTCAGCAGAGAGAGTGGGGAGCAGAACAGGAGGATCTACTGAAATATACTGCTGAGGGGAAGGGAGCAGCGTGTGAGACAGGAGAGGCCTGCCACGCCATGTGGGTCGCCTTCCTGGCCAGGGGGATCAAACTCGTGCTGCAGTGGCTGTGGATAGTGTCATACTTGATAGAGCTGTGCTTATTTAACCTGTTGTGCCACCAGGGATAGTCCGTCTAGCCATTTTGAAAGCTCCTCCAGGCTTTTCAACTGCTTTCTTTCTCATCTGAACCTGGCTCTGCCATGAAGACTCTTCCTTCTCATGGGCCCACGAGTTTCTGTTTTCTCTTTCGCACTCCTCCAGTTCCGGCCCAGGAGAGGGGAGGTCTCCTCCTTTCTCTTCAGTGCCACTTCCAACTCATCCTCCCTGCTCCTCTCTGAACTCCCTCACACTTAAATCTATTGTCCATGGAATATACCTCTCACCACCCTCGCTGTTGCTGATTCTTCTGACCCTTAGATCACTCCTCTTATTTCATAAGCACTGTATCTTCTGGGCCACAGTCACTTTGGCTAACACTCCATCATAACTTTTGATTTCATCATCCACGCATTTGATTCTTGTAAAACCTAGATTCTCAGTGCCCTGAGCTTCTGTTTTCCAATGATAAACTTTACCTTTCTGAATTTGTCTCCTATATGCTTTCCTTGGTTCTTCTAATGTAGCCACAGTGGACTCAGCTGATTTCTTTTTTTAAGTATATATATATATATATGTCATTTTCATTTTGTACATTTTTACTTCTCAGTTTTAATCCCTGTGGAATTCCCACCACCAGTTCACCCATGTGCTATCTTTATATTCCCATGCACTCATCCCACTCCAATTTTGATTCTTTTCTTCTCACCTCCCCTGTAGAATGTCTCTGGTTTATAGTTGTTAGTTGATGATAGTTGACATTTTTACCTTATTAAAATCACTACATATATATATTTTTTTCTTTTCCTGATCCCTTAAACTCCTGCTATTAGGGAAACCATCTGGTATCTTTCTTTTTCTTTCTGGCTTATTTCACTAAACATGATCTTTTCCAGCTCCATCCATGTAGCCACAAATGGCATGCATTTGTCTTTTTTGATTGCTGAGGAGTCAGCTGATTTTTAACACACCAGCACACCTTTTTCTGGTTGTTCCTTCTGCCTAGAACTCTCATGTTCTGTATAGCTTCACATCTTGCTTTTCTGCTTCCTTCAAAACTATGCTCAGATATGAGGAAGGCTCTTTGCCTACTCTACTTAAAATTTTATCTCCCCTAAAATTGTGTGTCTCCTTTCCTTCCTTTATTTTCTTACCTTAAGAATTGCCATTACTGGGCATATTATATATGTTCCCTATTTATCTTATTTACTGTCTCATTTCACAGCTACCAAAAAAAAAAAAAAAAAAAAAACAAACTCCATGAGGCACTGGTATCTGTTTTGTTCTCTACTATACCCATGCCCTAAAACAGTGCCTAGTATATAGTAAGTACTCAATAAATACCTGCAAAATGAGTAAATATAAAAGAAACAAAGTGCTGTATAAGATCTTCATGGAGAAGAGCTTGTGGTAAGCTAGTTATTTCTTCTTAGAATGGGGAAAGTTGGGGCTATTGAAGTCCTGGAAGTTTGTTTGCTTTATTAGATTGTCTGATGAATAAATTTTTGAAAATTTTATTCCCATTGACTCACCAAACATTGGACTCTAGAGATATACCACATTTCATTTGGAAATCATTCTCAGATTGATTGCTCCCTTTTCTTCATAAGTTAATTGTCTTAAGTTTTTGCAAAGCTGGAAGATCAGGGGGAAAATAAGTATGATTTAGTGGCTAGGGATTAATCCAGTCAGTCAGTCAATCAACAAACATTTGTTGGGGTTTACCATGTGCCCTGGGACTGTGCCATGTGCCGGGAATAGAGAAATGAAAAATATAGTAGTTCTGCTTCCAAGTCTAATCATCTGGCCATGATTATAAAAATGCAACATGGGAGGTGATTTAAACTGTAGTAGAAGTGCTGCAGGGATTCCCGAGAGGAGGCAACTAACTGTTTTGCTCAGGAGCTTGGGAGCAAAACAATAGACCAAAAAACTAGTTTTTCCTCTGGCTCTTGAACTGTGATGAGGATGGACATCTAGAGGGCTAGAAAGATAATTTCTGTCCTGTTGAAACCAGAGTGTGTGGGGTAGTGCAGGGCAGGGAGAACGGGGTAGAGGATGAGCTAGGAGAGAGGCAGGAGACAAGATCCTAGAGGCCATGGTGGGCTGCTCTTGGGACGAGGACCTGCTGAGAACTCTGAGGGAGATGGAGCGCTGCTCAGGTTTGAGGGCTGCATGGAGACGAGTGAAGCATGAGGGAGAAAACAGAAAAGCACCTTGGCGTTGTCTCCTGTCCTCCAGCCTCTCAAGAGGTTCATTCCCACTTTCCACTGCCTGTTGTGAAGATTTAGTGGGAGTTACAGTGCCCTTGAGAAAGAGCTTCAGCCCCTGTTTCTTGTAGTGTGGATGGCCCAGTCCCTGTTCTTTGACCCCTTAAACTCAAATTCCTATGGTGAAAAACTTCTCTCTCAGCAACCACAGGGAAAAAGGTTGGGGGCACAGAAGGCCTCCCCACCCCACCCCCTCCTTTTTTTTTTCTCTTGGGAAAGAAACTGCTTGAGAAACCATTCCACACCCATCTTCCAGTCTCTCCCACAAGGCTCCCAGTGGAATCTGTCAGTCAATGAGTGCAGGGATCATGAGTCCTGAGCACAGGCCTCTCAGTAATTGGGGTTCTCCTACCTGTTCTTCAAGCGGAGCCTTCAGGGAAGAGTGGTGCACTTGGGCTCACAAAGACTGTGGGGGTCCCTGCAGAAAAGCCACTCCCAAACTAGAAAACCATACCTTCTATATTACTCAAGTCTGCCTCTCTCAGCTGCTGTATCTAAGTAGTTCCTATTACTGATTTACCTCTCTTCCATAATGCTTTGCTCATGTTTATATTCCTAGCATCTCTTTCAGTGTCTGCTATTTATTTATAGATATATGCATAAATATATAAGTGTTTATATAAGTGTTTTGTAAATAATATATGTAATGAGATATAAAAATGTATTGTGTGAAGTATATTACAGAGTGCATAAATATATAAACATATATGTATACTTAAATTTTCATTGAATCTTACCACAAACCAATAAAGAGAGGAACTCATTTCTCTCAACCCTGAGGAGTCCCTTATTCCCACATTTCCCTCCCCATGAAATCTAAAGCAAATAATTTAGAGAGCTGTGTCTCTGTGATACCTAGTGTGCAAGCATTTATTTTTCAAGAACCATAAGTATACTTCTTATGTGCCTGTGAAGTTTATTTGCCTTTCTCGGGGGGATCAACTGGTTTTTATTCCTGCAATGATACCTGACTCCTGGAAAAGTACAGTTTTTATAAAGGGAGACTTTCTGAGGATTTGGATAGCCTGGGGGTTTGATGAAAAACAAAGTCACAGTTAGTATAAAAGGAAAAATGAGGCCCCCTGCGTTCAAATACTATGAACTTATTCTTGGGGTCTCTGTCTTGTTCATTGGCAAGGAGGCAGGTAGGACTGTCTTTCTTATAGGTGGGTATAAAAATTCAAAATGACGGCCCTCCGTGGTGCTGCAGCGGGTTAAAGCACAGCATAAAGAAGCTTAAACCACTTCCGCATGAGTTAGATCCCCGCCTGCCCCGGAGGTGATCCACATGGTGAGGCAGACCTCTCCTGACCTGCCCGCTGCTCCCCTCAGCAGTGTACTTTGTCGATCTGCCTGTTCTGCTCCCCACTCTGTCT